CCCCGCCTCGGCCTGGCGCCCGGGAAACTGAGGCCGAGCGTGCGGGCGGCCCAAGGTCACGCGGCCCAGAGCCTTGGAGCGGTGCACAGGCCTGGTCCCCGAGGGGAAACTGAGGCCCAGGGAGCGCAAGGACGCGCCCAAGGTCACCGAGCCGAGCCTCCGGGCCGGGGCCTCCGTGCCCGCGACCTTGGCGGGGGCCTTCTCGCCAGCCTCGGTTTTTGCCTCGGTCCTGAGGGCACGGCAGGGCGTGGACCGTTGGCGCTGGGGTTCGGAGTCGCGGGGCTGGTCGCCGCCGCGCCTGCCTCTCTTTTCTATAGGTTTGAAAATTTCCATAATAAAAGGGTTTTTTAAAGGCCACAGAGCCCTTGATTTGTCACGCGCAGGCCCCGGACAAAGGGCTTCGGAAATGTTATTTCGGGTAGGGCGGGGCAGGCTTCCCAGGGTCCCACAGATGCCTCGCCCTTGGTCTGCATAAGGGAAAACTGAGGCCCTGACCGTGGCAATCCGAAGCTAACGGGGTCCCTGCCCCTCGCATGGGTCCCCCTTAAGGCTGGTGGGTTTTAGAGCCGGAAGGTGCCCAGGTCACAGGGAGACCCAGAGCCCTCTCCCCCTCCCCATCTGCTGTCCTGCGTGGAAGCCCAGCTAGCTGCCCTGGTTCTCTGCGCCTTGGGCTCAGTCCCCAGCTGTGTCCTGGCCCCTCCTCCCCAGCTCTGGGAAAACACATGAAGGTCTGCTTCTGGGACTGGGGGGTGGTGCTTAGTGTTAGGGACAGCTCTCCATCCTCACCCAGCTCAACCAGAGGGGCGGGGAGACAAGGAAGAGGGTGATGACGACCCAGAACGAGAAAAGGGACAAGGGGGGCCTCCAGAGCCAGGAGAGGCTCAAGCCCTGCCTCCTGGGACCCTCCTGGACCCTCCAGCCCTCCTACCACTGTTTGGCCTGACGTGATTATTGCGTCCCTGCTCACCAGAATGTCAGCACCATGAGGATGGAGATTTGACTTGTCCCTGCATGCAGTAGGCGCTCAGTAGTGACTGATGGATGGTCAGATGGACTGCCCTACCCCACGCTCCCCAGTTCTCTGCACGCTGGGTGGGCTGAGCCAGGAGTGGTGGCCCACACCCAGGACTCCAGCCCTCCACACCCCCAGGCCCGCAGACCCCCAAGGTGGCCACTCCACGTACCCTTGGCCAGTTGGGCGGGTGGGCAGGCAGCTGTCTCTCTGGGGCAGCAATGAGCAGCTGGACGGGCGGCACAGTTGGCACCACCAGGCTGCGGCCCGCCCCAGGGCAGATGGGTGTTCTGGCTGAAGGGGGGTCTTTCATGTTCACCCTGGGAAGATGTCAGGCTGGGCAGGTCGCCAGAGCCCCAGGGCTGGAGGCTGAGCTGCGAGGAGAGGCAGACAGAGGCCTAGCCTGGGGACCTGCGATGCCTACAGCGGGACAAACAGACAGGGCAGCTCCTCTGCTCACCCCACGCCCAGCCCCTGCCTGCCCATCTCCTCCCCCCGCACCGCCCCCGTCCCAGGACCATAAAGGATGCTGGCACCAGGGGGTCCCAGCCCGTCTCTGAGCCGCAGGGGACCTGGTCACCAGGCCCTGGAGGTTCCTCTCTAATCACAGTCACCCTGGGCCAGGCTGCTGTCGGCATTTTGAGACCAGCCCCGGCTCCCTGCTTCATGAAACCCACTCTGAGTGCTTGACCTGGCTGGAGTATTATCTGCGCTTAGTTATTCATTTAACAAATATCTATTGATTCCCCCAATATGCAGGCACTGGGGATGCAGAGGAGTTTCTGGGTGGTGCAAACACCTGCTAACTGAAAGGTTAAAGGTTCGCGTCCACTCAGAGGCACCTCAGAAGAAAGGTCTGGCGATCTACTTCCCAACAATCAGCCATTGAAAGCGCTATGGAGCACAGTTCTACTCTGACACATGTGGGGTTGCTATGAGCGGGGAGTCCAATGGACTCAGAGACAGTTGGTTTTGGTCTGGGGACGCAGAAGTGGATACAACAGTTTACCGCCTGGCCTGGTGGGCCAACAGTCCAGCAAGCAGAGGAGACGCGAATCCTGAGTCTAGTGAGAATTATTTAGAGAATATCGGCTGGTCTGTCGGAAGGACCTGAGTGCTGTAAATACTTAGAGCAGGGAAGGGGGTGAGGGAAGTGCTGGGGGGCAATGCTTGGTGGCCTTATGAGGAGAGGTGACATCTGAGCAAACACCTGAAGGGAGGGAGGGATGGTGCCACATGGACGCCTGCAAGAAGAGTCATCTGGGCAGGCGGCAAGGCCGTGCAAAGGCCCTGGGGCAGATGGTGCCTGGCTTGTTTGAGGGGCAGCAAGTGGCCAAGTGGCCTGAGCATTGGAGAGGGAGGCCGAGGGGGGTGGGTGTTAGGAGATGAGGTCAGAGAGTTAAGCGGGGGTGGGACAGAGATGATGGGGTGGGGCTAGATTGTATGGACAAATATATAAATATAAAACTCCAAGTCAACCTAAAACCTCCCACGGCTCCCAATCCCTCCTGTGGCCATGGTGTCCCCTACCTCCATGCTCATGGCTCCAGGCACACAGCCCTCTCCTTCCTGACCCCCAACACACCAAGCTCACTCCAGCCTCAGGGCCACTGCCCTTGGGGTCCCCCCTCTCAGGCCCCTTTCCTCTGGCCTCCGGCCCCCCAGCCTCTCCCTTGGCATCCTTCTGGCCTCACCAGCTGGTCCTGCACTCCCCACTCAGTCAGGTAGGTCCAGGCTCAGGGCCTGGGGCTCACACAAGGTGAGAGCCCTGTGAGCGGACAATCCATTCAGGATTCCTGGACTTTCCTTCCCAGCTCCTTGCTGAGTTCACTCTCCCCTGGGAACTTGGGGGGTGGGGAAAAGGGAGAGGGTGAACCAAAGTCTGATGATGCCCACCTCTGGCCCTGCCCCCTGCTGCCAGGTGACACCCCACCACTCTCCTGCTGTCTCCCACTGTGGGACCTTGGGGTCACCGCCCCTGCCCTTAGCCCCCATAAAGTGGGGAGTGCTCTTTGGAATCTCAGCACCAGAGTGAGGGGCCCAGTGTCACTATAGGCGCCGCCCCCTCGGGGCCCGTCCTGGGGGGGTACAAGGAGGGGGAGGGCAGTCTGTGGAGAGGAGAGGCCAGGAGAGGCAGTGGGGTGCTTCTGGTAGAGCCCCATGAATGAGCCCTTGTTCCCTACTCGTCCTGGCTCTGCCCACCAGGGCTGGGACTCCCGAGACCCCGTGGCTCCCCGGGCGGCCCTGGAGGCAGTGTCCTGAGCGCTGGCAAGATGATCTCATTTAATCCTGTGACACCCCATCTCACCCTGGGGAAACCGAGGCAGGCTTCGGAGAGCCATACTCAGGCTCACTTCATGGGTGGGGTGTTGGTCACTGTACTTCCGCCCCCACCAGCTGCCTTACTGCAGGCGGGCACTCACCGTGTTTGCTGAGTGAATGCGCGAACGACTGAACGCGCGAGAGCGCTCCGTGAAGGAAAGCAGGGAGGAAATTCACGCAGTGACCCCCCCCCCCGGGGCGGTTCCTTCAGGATGAACCCACTGAGGGGGGCCCAGGCCCTGCTTGCCTCCCCAGGACCCCCCTGAAACTCCTCATGCCCCGGCTTTCTGTCTGGAGAATTCAGTGTGGTTGGCAACACCCATGGAGCCTAGGTGTCCCTGCTAAATGCTGGGGTGACAGGAAGCAGGGTGGTGGTGCCTGGGTGTCCCAGGAGACAAACCCAGCAGGTGACGCCTGTGAGGGGGAGGATCAGGTCACGTGACCAGAAGGAGTGTCACCCTGTTGCCTCCCCACCAGCCCTGTCTATCCCCACCGCAGGCTGTCTCCCCGCTGCCTTCACTGGGTCAACTGTGTCTGCCTAGTCACCCTCAATCTACTCTCCCGGCACCCGGGGACCCTCCCGCCCACTCCCCCTGAACCCCCGGCACCCGGGGACCCTCCCGCCCACTCCCCCTGAACCCCCGGCACCCGGGGACCCTCCCGCCCGCTCCCCCTGAACCCCTGGCACCCGGGGACCCTCCCGCCCGCTCCCCCTGAACCCCTGGCACTAGGTAAACCAGAGGAGCCCAATGGGTGTCACTGGACGAGTCAACAAAACCACGGATCCCCTGGGGCACTGGGTAAATACTTCAGTGGGGTGGGTACCCATGGGGCCTCCTGACGCAGTGGGGGGTGGCCTCAGTGAGGTGGGTGTCCGGGACCCTTGAGACCCCAGGGCTCATGGAGGGGGCCGGCCTTGTCCAAGTGTGCTCAGCTGTAGGACCTGGCCCTCAGCCCACTAGGCGGCATGAGTGTGGCGCCCTCTGGTGGTCGCCGTGGTGAAGGCTGGGGCTGGGGTTTCCGGGGTCTTCCCCAGGGTTCTGGGAGGGGGATGAAGCTGGTGCGCTAGGTGGAATTGCACTGCTGAGCGAGACAAATGGACTAGGGGCCCAACTTCTGAAGGAAAAATGGCAAGGGGCAGCCCTCGAGGGCTCAGGCCCCGCTGGGTCCTCATATCCTCCTAACGGGAGCTGGGGACCCCACCCCCCGCAGGGGAGACTGCAAGACAAGCACAGAGCGGGGAGCGGCCTGCAGCACGTCTCAGAGCCCTCCTGGAGTCACACTGGCGACCCCGTCTCAGAGCCCTCCTGGAGTCACACTGGCGACCCGTCTCAGAGCCCTCCTGGAGTCACACTGGCAACCCCGGGGCCGAGTGTGGGCCCCACTCCTTGGCTCGGGTCCCTTCCACAGCCCTGAGGAGAAATGCCGGCAGCACCGAAGCCTCCACCAGGAGCCCCGATTTCTGGCTTCTCTGAGTAGGTCCACACACTCCAGCCTGTCCCCGAGGCCTCCCAGCCAGACCAGCCAAAGGCCCGGCACTTTCCCTGGGACTCAGTTTCCCCACCTATATGAAGAGGGAAAGGCCCTCCAGACCTGCCGCCCCACCCAGCCCCCGTGTCCCCCTACCCACACTCTCATTCCCGCCCCGGGCGCACTTGGCTTGCCCGGTTGGTTCTGGCTCCTCTGGCTCTGAACACGAGGTCCCAGGTGGTCGAGAGACTGCCGGGACCCCCACTGACTGGGCTCTGGCCCTGGAATGTGCCCCCACCTCTCATGGGCCACCCAGGCCACGGCAGCACCCTCCTCAACCATGGTGGGTGCGGCCCTGGTGTCGGCCTGCGTGGGCTGGGTGACGTGGGCAGGGGGCTGCTGCCGTCCATCCTGGGGGCACAGGGTCAACCAAACACAAGGTCTCTGACAAGCCCTCCCTCCCCCGCCCCGGGGCAGACAGGAGCCGAAATGTGGAGTCAGTCTTTATTGGTGAACAAGGGTCAGGGTCAGGGCGGGGTCGAGGTAGGGGCGGGGTCAAGGTCAGGGTAGGGTCAGGGTGAGGGCTGCGCTGTGGTTGAGGTGGAGAGGCCCTAGCCTGGCAGTCCCCCACTGCTCACCCAGACAGGCTGAAGGGGTAGATGCGTGGACAGTGGGACTGGAGGTTGGCACACCATGGGCCTGGGGCTCCCCTGAGAGGGTGAGGGGGTCCGGTGCCCTGCCGGCCCACCACCTGCCCGTGGGGACCCCGGGTCAGACCACAGACTAAAGCCCTTTAATAAAATACTCATGAGCAGATGTGACCAGACAGCATGGGCTTCATTCAGACAGGCAGGACACCCGGACCGTGGCCGGGGCCCCCACGTGGGGCTGCACGGGGGGACCGCCAGGGCTGCCTGACGGGGGACCCCAGACCTCACCGACTCCCTGGGGTTCGCGAAAAGAGAAAGGAAAGGAGAAACACCCCTTACAGGGTAGGACTGAATGGAATTCTGTATGTAGAAAACCCTAGTTTAGCTGGAAAAACGGGGAACCTCAGGATAAGACTTGGATCTACGATTTGCTCTCCCAGGTGGGTTTCCTTCGGAGGTGAGGAAATCTTGCGAACACTGACTCCGGAGGCGAGACCCATGGGCAGGACAGGCCCCCTCCCTCTTCCTCTTCCCTGGAGGCTGCCTGGAGGGAGAGGGAGGGTCAGACCCCACCTGGTGCGCCCTCCCCATGGCGCCTGACTCAGGACTCGGGTCTCAGGCTGCGGCCACGGGCCTGGGCAGAGCCTTGGTGTGCTGATGGGGTGGGCAGGACCCCCGGCCCAAGCCCAGACAGGCCTGCCCCGTGGCCCACCTGCACTCAGTTGGCGTTCCTCTGACGGATGTGCTTGTCCTTGTCGTTCACGTGGTGAGCGCTGCTCTTCCTGGTGGGGAAAGGGGACCGTCAGCGTAGAGGCCCCTGAAGCCCCTAAACACACTGTATCTCCCAAGAGGATCTGAGTTCACGTCTCCTCGCCCCTCGGCCACGGCCCCCCAGGAAGGAGGCCTCTGGGTGGTGCATAGTGCACACTGAAGACTAGGGGGTCAGCCAGGTCTTGGCTCTGCCCTGTGGGCAGGACCCCGAGGCACAGCAGCTCCCCAGCCCAGCCCAGGGGACCCCTGCCACCCCACCCCAGGCGAGGCCAGGACTCACAGTGGCGTGGAACCCATGTCTTCATCTGTGCAGACACAGCAGCGGGGCAGCGCATACGGAAGAAAGAAGAGGATGTCAGCGGTGCCCCAGCTCGAGACAGAGACCCCGCCCACACGTCTGCCGCTGGCTCCTTGTTCCCACCACAACTGCGGTCTGCTGTGGCCAGGCGCCCGGCCGCAGTCCCAGCTCCTCCCCGCGCGCTCGACCCCACCTCACGGCGGACCTCCCAGGAGGTCAGCCTGCAGAGGACGTCCTGGGATCCACACACAACGTCCCCTGGCCAAGGGCGGCCACGAGGCTGCGTCCTGAGCCCAGGGACCCGCACACGGCGCCCCCGGCCGACAAGGGGCATGCAGACGCAGACAGGAGGCGGTCTCCTGAGCTCCCGCGTCATGCAGGTCACAGGCTGGCGGCCGCAGCCCCGGGCCCCAAGCAGCTGGACTGAGCGCAGAGGGGGCCACTTACCGTGGAGGACGCCAGCTTGCCGCCAGCACGGGAGAGAAGGGCAGTGAGCGCAGGCAGACCCGCTCCCAGCGTGGGGGGAACCCCTAGACCGCCCACCCACATCCCTCTCACCGAAAACCCCGGGCCTCACCGTCCAGGACCTCCTCGGGCTTCCACCGCTTCTCGTAGATGAAGATGATGGTGACTAGCACGAGGACCTCGGCCACGATGCCCAGGAAGGGCCAGAGGGCGGCCAGACGGCTGCGCACGCGCAGGGTCACGGCGGCGTGGCTGGTGCCCTGGGCGTTGGTGCCATTGCACACGTACGTGCCGGGGTCCGTGCTCATGTCCAGGTTTGTGATGTGCAGTTCCGACCGCGTCTCCGAGGAGCTCACCAAGAACCTGCTCTGGGAGCCGTTCATGATGACCTGAAGCAGGGGGGACCGGGAGTGAGGGGGAACTGTGGGGGGCATGACCCAAGGGTGAGGGGGGCCAGGGGTGAGGAGGGCAGCTGGGAGTGATGGGGAGGCTGTGGGGGGAGGGACCAAGAGTGAGGAGGAGACAGGACCCACGAGTAGGAGAGGACCATGTGGGGAGGAGCATGGGCGCCCAGGGAGAAGGGGAGGGGACTGCATGTGGGTGGGGTCACGGGGGCGGGGAAGGGCCCCGAGTGCCACCTGCTCCTCGGCGTTGGTCTTCTTGAACCAGACCCAGTTGGTGACGGGCGGGAAGGAGTCCGACTTGCACTTGAGCACAATGTTCTCGCCCTCATTGGCATGCTCCGACTTTTTCACGGCTATGACTCTCGGGAGGCCTGAGGGGTCGGGAGGGGGCCTGAGCCTCGGCCCTGCAGAAAGCTGCTCCCCTGTGCTGGGCAGATGCCTTGAGGCCACAGGGCGGGCAGGCTCCCGGCCCCACGCTCCCATCGCGCCCCCCGGAGCACTCACCCTGCACGTTAATGCTGGCCCTGCCCGCGACCTCGGGGAGGAAGACGCAGTGGTACTTGCCTGCCTTGTCATCCGAGTCCACCCTGAAACCAGGCGCGTGAGTGGGCAAGGAGCCACAGGCCCCTCACTCGGGGGGGTCCCGCCTGCCCCATCCCGGGAGGCCCCTGCCTACGGGGCCCCTGTCTCACTCCTGGGGGGCCGTGGTACCCCACTCGCCCCCACCCGACGCAGACACGCCCTGGGGTGTGAGTCACAGTCCATTCCTAACTTCTGCTGGAATCCACCCCATGGCCGACCACGGGAGACGCTGGCACAGGAGAGGGACCCACTCAAACTCAGTTGTCAGGTCGGGCAGCGTGTCCTCCTTGAGCACCTTGTCCCCCCGCATCCAGCGGTGGCCCTCAATGGCCGTGGTGCTGCTGTTCAGGGTACAGCTCAGGCGCGTCTTGGGGCCAAAGTCATCCACAGAGGTTGAGACACCGCCCTCTGCAAAACCACCCAGGAGAGGGGTCAGTACAGGGTCCAGCGAGGAACTGCGAGGGCCGGAGAAGCACCTCCCCCACCTGCTGGGACCCTAACCGCCCAGCCAACAGTCCAGCCCCCAGGCTGGAGGCCCAGGCTCAGTGGCATCTTGCATGTCTGGGGCATGTGCTGTTGGCCCGGGCCAGCTTGGGGACAGAGGACCCCACCTCAAATGCCCTCCCAGTCACTGCACCTCTCAGGAGAGGTCTGACTCACTCCCCCCAAGGGAACAGGGGCCGTGTGCCTGGTGTGGACAGGGCCGCCCACCTGAGGCCCCCCAACCCCGAAGGCCCCCAGCGGCTTCCTGCCCAGTGCGCACTCCGCGGGCATCATGTGGTGGTGCCTGTCTCTCGGGCCACCCTGAGGCCCGGACGGGCCACAGCGGGGCAGAGGCAGCTAGTGGCTCTTCCCGCCAGAGCAAACCTCCAGCCGCTCTAAGAGATTCTCTTTAGGAGCCGAGATTTGAAAGGCACTTGGAACTACAAGTTGAGAAATTCACTGAAGCTTCCGGAAGACCACAAAGCTGAGCCTGAACCAGGTGGTGGTGGTGGTGGGGGTGTCCTCAAGCTCAGAGCGTGGACACTGAGACCCACCGCTCCACAGATGCCACCAGGGAGGGAGCAGTGTACACAAGACGGAGGGCTGCCAGGACGGAGCCAGGACGGAGCCGAGGAGGGTGGAGAAGGGGACAGAGCCAGAAGGGTCAGAGCCGAGGGGCCAGGGGGCGGAGGAGCTGGACCCGCTGAGCCAAGGATGGGGCGGAGCCGGAGCGGAGCCAAGGATACGGGAGAAAGGACGGAGCCAGGACGGGTCAGAGCCGAGGGGCCAGGGGGCAGAGGACGGGGCGGAGCCGAGGACGGGGCGGAGCCGGAGCCCAGTAGGGGTGGAGCTGGGAGGCCAGGGCGTAGGATGCCCCAGAGGGTCTGGTCTGCCAAGCGCTGGAAGGCGGTGCAGACTGAGGGACACAGAGGTACTCAGCGAGAAGGGCCGGGCGGCTGGGACGGGCCGGGATCTGTGTGCCGCCACTCACGTTCGCGGACCAGCACGCTGGCCTGGGCGCGGACCCAGCGGAGGCGGGGTGCCCGGGTCAGGTGGTTGCGGTCGGGGTCATTGCTGGCCCGACACTCATAAATGCCAACGTCGTCCGCAGTGAGGCCGGCAATGGACAGGGTGCTAGCCGCATGCTGGCGGTAGGTGGCGTGGATGTGGACGCGGTCCTGCCGGGCGCCATCCCAGAGCTGGGTGCAGGGTGTGTCGGGCACGGCGCCCTCGAACCACCACTGGATCTCGGGGACAGGGCTGCCCACGGCCTCACAGTGCAGCTCCACATGGTCCCCCGGCCTGTGCTCCTGGGACAGCGGCGACCGCAGGAAGCCGGCTGTGCGGCAGGCGGGGGAGCACCAGTGTTAGTGAGGGCGGACAGATCGAGAAGAAAAGCAGGTTAGTGGTTTCCGCGTGACCCGGCCGGGTGCACCAGGTGGCAGGAGGAGCTGCCCAGAGGCTGGACGCCAAGACCCAGGGCGGCATCTGAGCATCTCTGTGCAGGGGCACCCAGGAGCACGAAGGCAGGCGGCTCCAGAAACCAGGCCTCCAGGAGCACCTGCCAGGACGGAGCGACCCTGAGGGACCCATGAGGCCCTGAGGCCACAGTGACCCCCCAACGGGAGAGCCACACGCGGGCACTTGGGGGCTGCACAGAGCCACGAGGGGGGCCTGAGCTGCAGCCCCAGCCGACTGGCCACCAGCAAGCACTGACCACCCCACCCCAGGGCAGCCTCGGGCTCATGCCCCACCCCTCCAGGAGAAACACATTTTGACAGAACAGAAAGGACCCTGCAGGGCGGGGCTTCCCCTGAAGAAGTGGGCTGAAGCTCACACCCCGTGCCTGGCAACCCAGGACAGGAAGTCTTTCTGCCGGAAGACATCAGAGCTGGGCTGCTTTCTAGAGTATTCCACGGGCTGTGAAGTTGGCTCCCATCCCCGTAGGTCACTGTAGACTGGCCCTCCCCAGGGGGCACCGGCTGATAGCCGGGGCAAGGCCGGGCCCCCCGTCCCACCTCTGCCCACCTGCAGGTGCCTCCTTTAAAGAAAAACAGAGGACAGAACCCCAGCTGACGCTGGCGGAGCAGGAAGCCCAGCAGCAGCATCTTGACACGGCTCCCAGAGGTGCTGTCTGCTTTGGGTGGAGGGGACAGCACCCCACATGTGTCTTCCTCCTCCATGGCTCCCATGCCATGACTGCGCGCACACACACACAGCCCCCAGTTCTGAGGCTGTGGTAGGAAGAACCAAGTGGCCCCCACAAGGCCCCAGGAGGAGGCCCGAGGGGGGCAAGACGACCGTCCTCAGCAGAGGGCCACCTCTGGTCTCCTGAGCTCAGAAAGAATTAGGCCTCCCGGCAATTGCGAAACTGGCAGCTGAGTGCAGCGCAGGGCAGGAAGGCCGAGCGCCCCCCCCCCCAACAGGCGTCCCTATCTTTACAGCTCTGTCCTCACCATCCAGGGCTGCGAGAAAAGAGGTCGGGAACTGCAGACTCAAGGCTGCCTGGGCCTCTCTTGGGGAGGAGGGCCTGTTCCCTCCCGGTTTGTGAAGGGGCAAGTGTGGATGACCCCCACTCCCATCCGTCAGCAGAAGGGGGGCGGCATCCATGGGCAGCCTCCCTCAGGGGCCCCACCTGGGCCACCTGCTATGCATCCCGGAGAGTTGGGGCTGCTCTGTGAAAGAACGGAGTGCTGCTCCCACGGCGCAGAAGTGGGTTCTGGGGGACAAAAGCCTCTAGAGTCAAGGCCACTCCCAAGAGAAGGTGAGGGTCACATATGATGTTACATTTCAGTGTTGGGCAGTTAGTAAAAAATGCCTGCAAAGGCCCCCTTGGGGGGCAAGAATGGAAAAAAGCAGAAAAGCCTCCCCCCTTCTGCTGGAGGCTCAGGTTTGGATCCCACCTGGCCCCCAGGGTTCACAGGAGCCCCTCAAGAGCACTCAAGACCGCAGGGAGCCCTGACCCTCTGCTCCTAGAAAAGTCAAAGCTGATTCCAGCCACGTGATCTGCAGCCCATGATCTCAAGTAAAGTCACCTTCGTCTAAAAACAACCACTCCCTCCTGCTTCCCTCTGGGCTGGGGGCCAACCAGGGGCCTGGAGGTAAACAAGCTCCCCAGGCCTGCAGGGGAGGCGCCCTTGCCTGGGTGGAGCAGACAGCAGGGCTGAGGGGCACTGGTCTGCCATCTGTGAGTCCTCTGGCCTCCAGATTTCCCCAGTGGGAGGGAAGGGCAGGGCTGTGAGCACGAGAAAGGAAAACGAATCAAGTCCGCCTGGCAACTCCACTCCTCCACTCCTGCTCAGCTCTGGCCACAGCCCGGGAAAACCAGCGTGGTGCTCAGCACAATTAGCTCCAGGTGGGACATGTGTTGAGCCTGAACCCGGGTAAGGCTGTGCCCCCAGCACCAGGCAGCTTCTAAGGCCCCCTGCCAGCAACAGTTTATCTGCCGTCACCTGGCCAAGGGTCCTATCTGCATCTAACAGTATCTCAGTAAATGGCTGTGTGATTAGAAGAGAGAAGAGCAGACCGTCCTGCTGTGGGTCAGGAGCTCCCGCCCACCATACCCACTGCTGGGATGACGCCCCCATCTCTCCCTCTGTCCCCTGTGTGTGTGTGGTCAGTGTAAATCTTTAACCTAGAACCAAACAGGGAGTCCAGAGAAAGGAAGGGAACACCTCTATCAGGCAAGAGTGGCCGCCCTGGGTTTCTCCTCAGGCCGTTCTTCCCACAGCACACTCTGCCCACCACCACTGCGCCCCAAACTGCTGCCCACTTCAGCAAACTGCACTGGAAACCAAATGTCATCAAGGCTTCAAAAAATCACTCTCAACATTTCCTGCCCTGAACTGGCGGCCGAGGCGACCTTGCTGTGACCTTGGAACACCCCCCCCCACCGGGCCTCAGTTTCCCCAGCTGTAAGGGCAGGTGTGGACTAGAGCCCACCTTCTCAGCCCGAGGTCTGGTGAGGCCAAGAGGGCAGGGCAGGCAGGCCCCAGGCGGCGCAGGAAGAGGTGCACAGGACGGCAAGGCTGACGCCCCAATCCCGTCAGGAATGATAATCCCCGGGGTCCGGGAGCTGACCCGTTTTTGAGCCATTTCACGTGCACCTGGATTCGGGTTAATGGGAGGACACCAGCGGCCCATTATCCCGACGAGAAAGCCCAAGCTTCCCAGGACATATGGGGACCGCAGCCATGGATCCGACTTCAGGGGAGGGGGTCTCTCTGCTGCACCCCCTACCCTTATACAGGCCCCAGGCAGGGGAGGTCACGCCGGGGTCCACCCTCAGGTCACACCCCAGGCCCTGCAGGCTCCAAAGGTCTCCCCGGAGGAATGCAGTCCTTGGAAACCAAGTCGGGCAGCAGGCCCAGACTCAGGCCCTGCAGTTCTGGGCCAAAGGGGACGGATAATCAAGGACCCAGGCCTCCGTCTTCTGGCCCGGCCTCTCCTGGTGGGAGGGGTGGCAGACGGGCCACCTCTAGAACCCCACCCCAAATGCCCTCATCCAGGGGTCAGGCCGCTGCCGGACGCTCCAGCCCGGTGCCCCCCTGCGGCGGGTACCCCCTAGGCCGCCCGAAGCTTGGGGACTTCACCTCCAGCACCGCCCCGGGTCGGACGCCCCTGGTTCTCCACCCCTAGCTCGGGGGCTTCCCTCCCAGGCCCTGCCCCAATAAGGACCCCCAGCCCTGCCAGGATCCCCCGACCGTGGGGGCTTCATCCCAGGCACGGCCCGTAGGGCCCCAGGAACCCCCAGGCTCGAGGCCTTATTCCCACCTCCGCCCCGTTCGGACCCCGGGCCCTCCCTAGGACCGCCCGGCCCCGGCCCGCACTCGGCGTCCCAGCGCCCGCGGCCTCCATTCCGGACCCCCTCCGGGCGCCGCGACCTCGGCCCGCTGCTCACCAGCCCCAGAGACGCCCTCGACGCCCAGGAGCGCGGCCGCCAGTACCACGAGCAGCGCCGCCGCCATATCGCCGCGTCCGTCCTCCGACCCCGCCGCCACCAGCCGCCGCCGCCGCCGCAATAAGAACCGGCGGAAGCCCCGGGCGCGCGCGCGCACAGTGGCGTCCCGGGTGCGCGCGCACGCAGGGCACGCCGGCGGCCCCGCCTGCGCACGCGCACGGGGGTACGTACGCACGCACGCGCTGACTGAAGAGAGGCTCGCGCTACGGGCGCAGAAGAGGCGCCCAGGGCGGCAAGGCTGTGGCCCCAATCCCGTCGAGAATGCTAATCCCCCGGCCAGGGAGCTGACCCTCCGGCCTCCGGGCCCCGGTGTTGCTAGAAGACGGGGACAGGGCCTGCGAGGACGCGGCTCGGAGCCCCAGTTTCTTTTCCCGGCTCTTCCGAGAGTTTGTGTGCACTGTTCACTCGTCCTTTGGTCACTGCTTATTTCAGAAAGCGCTTAGTTAGGCCATAGGGTGCCTGCGGTGACCAGGTCGGATGGGTCCCTGCGGGGTGAAACTACCAGATTAGCAAATAAAAATACCGGAGAGCAGTTAAATTTTAATTTCAGCTAGAGAACAGATAATTTTTAGTATAAGTATCCCGTGCAATATTTGGACGTAGTTATTAAAAAAAACAAAACAAACAACCATTTGTGTTGCTCTGAAATTCCAATTTAACTGGTCGACCTGCATTTTCTCTGGCGGCTCTACTCTGGGGTCCGTGATTTTACTACACATACTTACACAAATGATGAATGCTGTGTGGGATTTTAATCCTAGAAATTCATAGAGAAATACTCAGATTTGACATGCATAAACTTGTTTAGTTTACTGCAAGCTAGTCCTGGCAAAGCACGCACGTAAGCCCAGGACGTTCATTTAGAGCCAGAGAGTCATAATTAACAACGTTATTTCGGTGAGTACAGTCCAACTTGAGACTTCAGGCATTTGCCTTTGACGAGTGATCTCAGGAGGAAGTCCGACCTCTAGCTGGGGTCCAAGGTTGGCAGCAGGGAGGTTCCATCTCTGCCTTCTCTCAGTGAGTGAGCAGAAATTCAGGGTTTATATGCAAATTCCTCACCTTGGCTTCACATAATAAGGCCCACTGTGACATCAGAGACTAGTTTGTTACATCTTCCCTGAAAGGTTAGAGGTTAGCTGAATGTCTCATCCTTTTTTCAAGGTTAGAGATTAGGGAGTTGTTTAGATTTATACCGCAAGGCTAGTTTACGAAGATCAGCTATGCTCTGTTTTCTTTTGTCGCAGCATGCCAGGTGAAAGTCAACTTTACGGTTATTTACATTTTTCACACACTTCACATGCTTCTATTTTTAAAGTTATGAATTTCTAAATAACTTTCTAATGATTTACAGTTAATGGTTAGAGAGCCCCACAATGGTAGACATATTTCTGTTTCTAAGTTCACGAGTACATATACATATATTTGAAAACATAATAGTGATTTATACCTAACGTGATTGGAAAGCATTATAGAGAACAGAGAACCATGAAGTAATTTCAAACACTGACAAATACAAATATAAAAAAACAGTTGCTGTTGAGTTGCGTCCGACTCATGGTGGCAGCCCCAGGTGTCAGAGTAGAAACTGTATGTGCTCCGTAAGGTTTTCTTTCTTTTTTTGCTTTAACAAACAGAAATTTATTTTCTCACAGTTAAGAGGCTAGAAGCCCAAATTCAGGGTGCCAGCTCTAGGGGAAAGCTTTCCCTCTCTGTTGTCTCTGGAGGACGGTCCTTGTCTCTTTTCAGCTTCTGGTCCTCGGTGATCTTCGTGTGACTTGGCACCTATCTTCCCCCGTCTCTCTCCTTGCTTGCTTGCTCAATCTGCTGTTTTATGTCTCGAAACAGATTGATGTAAGACACACTACACTAATACTTCCTCATTAACGTAACAAAGAAAACACAGTCCCAAATAGGACTATAACCACATGTAGGGTTTTCAATGACGGATTTTTTTTCAAGTAGATTGCCAAGCCTTTCTTTCTAGGTGACTCTGGGTGGACTCAAACTTCCAAACTTTTGGTTAGCAGCCGAGCAGATTCACCGTTTGCGCCACCCGGGGATCCAAGACCTGAATATAAGAACTAAATTAGAAACATCTGAGAAGAAAACACAGGCATAAATCTTTGTGGGCTTGGACTAGGCAGTGGTTTCTTAGATACGACACCAGAAGCACAAGCAATTAAAGAAAAAGTAGATAAACTGGACCTCATCAAAGCGTTCGTGCTTCAGAGGAAGTCATCGAGGAAGTGTAGAGACGACCCGCCGAACGGGAGAAAATATTTGCAAATCGTATGTCTGTTACGGTGCTTCTATTTAGGATATATAAAGAACTCTTACGAGCTCAATAATAAAAAGCCAAACAATTAAACATTCAGCTGTACAAGAAGCTGTACAAAAGGCCAATAAGCATAGGAAAAGATGCTCAACATCATCAGTCATCAGAGAGGGGCCCCTTCAGCCCCACTAGGATGGCTGTTATACACAGACAGATAATAACAAATGTTGGCAAGGATGTGGGAAAACAAGAATCTTCATCCATTGCTGGTGGGAAGGCAAAATGGTGCAGCCACTGTGGAAAACAGTTTGGCGGCTCCTCAAAAAGCCAAACAGAGAACTACGAAGTGACCAGCAATTCCACTCCTAGTCATATATGTATATGTGTGTGTGTATCTCTCTCTCTGTATGTACGTACGTATGTACGTATGTACCCTGGAGAAATGGAACAGCCCAAGTGTCCATCTGCAGATGAATAGATCAGCACAGTGTGGTCCTTCCACACAATGGATTACCAGCCACAAGAAGGAAGGAAGTACTGACACCTGCTATAACACGGATGAACCTCACAAGCACGATGCTCCGTGAAAGAAGTTAGACACAAAACACCACATAGTGTCTGATTCCATTTTGATATGAAATGTCCAGAATAGGCAAATCCATAGAGATGGAAAGTGGATTAGCAGTTGCCAGGGGCTGGGAGCTGCGGGATGGGCAGTGACTTCGAACCGGTACGGGGTTCCCTTCTGGGGTGGTGAGAATGTTCAGGAACCAGACAGAGATGGTGGTTGCACAACACTGTGAACGCCCTAAAAACCACTGAGCTGTGCGCTTTAAACGGGTGAAGAGCCCGATGAGCAAATTACATCTCAATACAAAAATAGGGTGACGTGAGTTCCCAGAGCAGAGGAGGGGTGCCTGCTTCGGGTGAGGGTCTGGCGGCTTCTTCAAGGAGGTGACATTTGAGAACGCAGGGTCCCCTGCCTGGACAGGAGGGAAGCATTGTCCAGGGAGGGGTCTGTGCAGAGCTGGTGGTGCCCCAGGTATAATGCACAGAGAGGGGAGGCTGGAAGGATGGGCGCAGAGCTGAATGGCAGAGGGGCCAGGGCTCGTAGATCCAGGGGCTGAGCTGGCAAGGGCTTCAGGCCGAGGTTGGCTGCAGGTCAGGGGCCTGGGGCCTCAGAGCGCCAGAGCCCCAGGCCTGGCACCCATCCAGGCTGCTGGCCCTGCTAGGGGATTGGAAGCTACGTGCAGAGTCAGGGAGGATGAAGAGGCCCAGGCAGGGGCCACTGGCTTCAAAGCCCCTCCAGGGTTGTAAACTACCCCCCCTGCCTGGCAGATGTCCTGAGCCTCCTGCCCTGCTCCTGCCCAATTCCCCCTCCCCCTTCCCCTCTTGCTTGTCAGAGAGGCCTCCCGGGAAACACACACACACACACACACACACACACACACCAGGGCCACCTGCAGCTTCTGGAAGCCTTTGTCTTTGCGTGCAAGGTCAAGCTGCACCTCTATGAAGACACAGTGCCCTGGTTCGCTCCCTCGAGAGCCTTCCCTGGCCCCCAGACCCTTGTTCTGCTCACCCCTGACCCCTGGGACAGGAGGGTCCATGTCCCCTCTGCTCCCAAGAAGAGACCCTCCCTCATCACCCAGATAGGGCAAATAAAATGAAAATACAGGATGCCTGGGTAAATTTTGATTCTAGATTTTAAAAATCAGTGCTTTTTTATATAAGTGTATCCCATGCAGTCTTTGGGACATGTTGTTCTTTGCTGTCGAGTCGATTCTGACTGTGGCAACCCTATGCGTGCAGAGTAGAACTGCTCTGTAGGGTTTTCAAGACCATAACCTTTCAGAAGCAGATCCCCAGGCCTGTCTTCCGAGGCGCCTCTGTGTGGGTTCGAATCGCCAACCTTGTGGTTAATAGTTGAGCACTCAATCGCGTGACACCCGCGGACTCTCCTACGGTAAAACACTAAGTGGAGCGCACGGCATCTTTAGGGCAATGAGATGATGCAGGGCGCCGTGATGGTGGACACGTAACATTATGTATTGGTCAAAATTCAAGTCGTTGTTGTCAGCTGCCATTGAGTTAACCCCGACTCATGGGGACCCCACACACAATGCAATGAAATGCTGCCTGGTCCTGCACCATCCTCACGATCAGTTGCAGATTGGACCGTTGTGATCCATATGGTTTTCACTGGCTGATTTTTGGAAGTTGGTCACCAGGACTTTCTTCCTAATCCATCTTAGTCTGGAAGCTCCACTGAAACCTGTTCCGCATCCTAGGAACACACAAGCCTCCACTGAGGGATGGGTGGTGGCTGCGCATGAGGTGCACTGGCCAGGGATCAAACCCAGGTCCCTCACGTGGGAGGTGAGAATTCTTAGACAACACAGAGCGAACCCGAATGTAAACTGTGGACTTGAGTTAATAGCAAATACCAATATGGGCTCATCGCTTGTGACAAATGGGCAGCACCACGCAATGTAAGGTGGTAAAAACAGGAGAAACTGTGTGCAGAGGGGGGAAGGGGGTGTGGGAACTCTCTGTCCCTTCTTTGCAAGTTTTCCGTAAACCTAAAACTGCTCTAAAAAATAAAAGCTATTCACCCGTTCTGACAGGGATCACAATAGAGGGTCCTGGACAGAGCGGGAGAAAAATATAGAACAAAATTCAGATTCACACACACAGAAAAAAATTACTGGTCTGAAAGAGACTGGAAGAACCCTCAAGACTATAGCCACAGGACACCCTTTTAACTCAGAGC